TACCCGCCTCTATTCCCGTCCGACTTTGCTCTGTCGTGGTGGAATACGACGGCCCGGGCGTCTCGTCATCCCAAAGGGAGCGGCTCAGATTTGACGTGGCGTAACCGGGGGTCCTGGGGGGCTCCAAGTCCACATCCTCATCCTCGGAAATGGCGATGACGGATGAGTTGGAACTGATGTCCGAATTGGAGGAGTGGGCCGAGCCCTCGTACGTGGCGTGTTGGTCGTACGCATCCATGTTGAACGGTGACTTTGCAAAGCTGATGAACTCGTGCAGAAAATGCTCGGTGCGGCCCTGCAGAAATGGCCAGAGCTCTTCTTGGATGGCTCTGTCCTCCATGTCCACGCAGGTAATGCGCGACATGATGATGTGTTGGACGATGTTAACCAGGGAGCCGTGCGCGCCGTACAGCACCACAAGCTCTCTTTTTAGCCAAGGGATCAGTCTGTGCAAGCAGGCGGGATTTTTGCGATAGAACTCGGCCGAGGTGTCCCGGGATCGTCCGCCGTCGCGCACGGTGCGTACTCTCAAGCCCTGTCGGTAAAGTTCTCGCCGGAAGTTCACCATTTCCAGCTCTCTGATGTTGTGCAACGTGCGGCCTTCGCTGGCCGCTCTCCTCTTGGCCGCCATCCTCATCATCACATGCCGGATGTAACGCGTCTGCTGCTGTTGGGGAGGATTGGCTGTTGATTCAAAGAGGACGCCATTGTCCGGCGGGGGAGAAGTCCTTCCCCAGCGCTGACGCTGCACCCCGGTAAGCGTTGTACGGTACCTAAATCGCACACCGCCAAACATCCCGAAAGATCCATTCGTCACTGGCTTCAGGTCATACTGTTTAAAGTCTTGCTCCGATTTTATACTGTGATAAATGGAATTAAACGGCTGCTTGCATAATGGGCATTCGGCTTTGTTCTTGGACCACTCGTGGATGCAGCGAAAACAGAACTTGTGCAGGCAGATGTCCAGGTAGGCAATGTTGTTAAAGACGTCCAAGCAAATGGGACACTTGGAGTCCGGAGACACTTCGGCAGATTTGGCTTCTGAGGTTTTTCTCCTGTCCCTCTTCTGGTTCTGCTGGAGTGCAAGCTTGATTGCAGACATGGTCTGGAACAAAACCAAGTAACGGTAAGGCGCGCGCATTTTTTGTCATTCATTTGAAAAGTATGTCTGACGTACTGCCGCTATGGTTTCAGGCAGTGTCCCTCTCGCGTGCCGTACTTTGAGTGTGCTTTAACAAGTGTATGGGAGTTGCACGGTAGTTATTTTCATGCACGTTGCCGCCTCTATACAGGTCGCCCTCCCACCGGTTTGTATGATGTACACAACAAATCTTTTGGAAGGAGTATTCTTGACTTTTTTTTCTTTCCATAAAAACAATTTCCTGGCAGAATGACTTTTCTTTCGACGTGGTGTCCATCCAGGAAAAATTGAGGTCATAGTTCAGGGTTTTTTGTCATTGCAACTGAAATGATTCCGAATGAAGATCTCGAGTCAACTTTGTGGTCAACATAAATGTACTGGGAGAGAAGTACATCTTTAAAAAAAAACGAGTACAAAAAAGAACATTACATACCATAAACATGTAACATGACTACAGCAGACCAGGGGAAAGGGTACAAGTGAAATTAGGCACGCAACATTGTGCCTCAACTGAGGCACGCAACATTGTGCCTCAGTTGATACTATTCTTGAATCACTGTTCGAGCCAACAACTCTATCGGAAGTATATTGCTGTCACAATGAACACGTTATGAAATGTTTAAAGCAATATGCAGCAGGCATTATTATTACGTGGCTAGCACTAACCGGGTGTTCCTGTTCTACTGCTTGTAGACTTCGCAGGTTAAATTAAAATTTGAATCACTGTTCGAGCCAACAACTCTATCGGAAGTATATTGCTGTCACAATGAACACGTTATGAAATGTTTAAAGCAATATGCAGCAGGCATTATTATTACGTGGCTAGCACTAACCGGGTGTTCCTGTTCTACTGCTTGTAGACTTCGCAGGTTAAATTAAAATCGCGAATAGCTCGAGACATAACCTTACCTCAAAGCACAGTCTCATTACCTCAATGATATCAAGAGACGAGATCGGTTTAAACTAGATAGGACTTGGTTCGCTTGTCGGTCATCTATCCAGTTGATCTAAATTACGGCTAATGATCACGAGCTAGGTCGGCTAACTGTCCTCCAGTAGTGAGGTTTGACATAAAATAAGACACATTTACCTCTGGATTTTAATCACGCAGGTAGTTTAGCGACCGATTCACCCTTCTCCGTCTCTCACAACTGCACTTGTGACGACATTTGAGAAATTCCAACAACAGTCTTCCCAAGACGCGAAACGCGCCTGGATGAAATCATTCCTTCTACGCTAAACCAAGTTGTCTGTCGTAGTCTGTAGTCAGGTCAGACCTTCACACTAAGAGGGAGACTTCCGTTTTGAAAAAAATAAAATCGCATTTGGCTTGAGAGCAGACATCAATTGTTCTCATGA